GTTTCGACTTTTGCATCCGCGAGCGACGACGACGACGAGACGGTACGTTTCCGAGCTCTCTGCTATTTCTGCGTCCGCGGAGAAATCGCAGCGTTTATCAGCCGCGCACAATCTAACATCTCTCTCTTTCTAAAAGCCGTAAACGGAGTTTCTCGCCGGGAATTATCGCGCTCCCAATTATATCGGCTCCTTGGCGCGCCGTTGTTGTCGTTACATTCTGCAGTTGCACGAGAAATTTCTAATTCTCGCGAGAGCGGACACTCGGTAGCGACAACGACGACTGCTTCCTCTGATCTTTCAACACGTTAATTGTCGTGCTGATCGCCGGTGATCGGTACCGTGATACTACCGCGTCTCGTTAATTTACGTGTAACGTATAATTAATTGCTTTTGAAAAAATTTATTTTACGGCCTGTAAAGAGCCAATAAAACGAGGCGGATGGATATATGCATTCCAAATTGCGTTCCTCTATTATATTTTTATTAATTCGATAGTAAATTAAGCTCTCTTCCTACGGAATCTTTTATGGAATGGAAATCGACACGACAGTAACCGTGTTAATTAACACAATTAACGATCCGCGCAGAATTTCGTACTCGCACATCGTCTCACGATTCTCTTCATTATGCTTCATGGATATAGATGATATACGGCTTCCCGTGTAATATATATCTTATCCAAGAAAATTATCTGAAATTTAGGATAACTTTCACCAAAAAGAGTACGGCCTGAACTTCTTATCATCCTCAAGAAAAATATCCTAAAATAGTCCCAATTTCAACAGATGTAAACAAAGACAAGTATCAATGACAATGTCTGTTCTTTGCGAATGGCAAAAATCTGTCCTTGAAAGACGTCCCTCATTTTGAACGTGAACATGAAGGCACTATCAGATAGAAATCGCGCTGAATTTAAGCTAAAATCCTATAATAAGAGAAGCGAAACCAACAGGAAGTGACCGCCATATTGTAATCGCTGCCGTGTTGTTTGCGGCATCGTATTATTATACTGAGTAGCAGTATTTTAGATACAAGGCAACTTTTTATTTAATTTTTATATGGAAGAAGCAAGATTTTATGTTAATTAGGTACATACTTGAATATACTCATGATTAAATGAATTTACGCGCAAAATACAAGCCCTGGAAGTTAGATATAGAATAAATCTTCGTACATAATCCGTACAAATTTCTTGTAATTTAAAGACATATTTATATTATATATGTTTATATTATATTATATATGTTTATATTATATTATATATGTTTATATTATATTATGTTTATATTATATTCTACACACGCTGCGACGCCGATTTCGCTTTTCTTATTATAGAACTCTAGTTTAAGCCAATCTTTTGTAGCGTTATCTGTTGAAATCGCGAATAAAAATGCGGAAAATATAGGCTACCATAAAATCTGCATACTCCTTTTGATTTCATCCCTTTGACGCTTTAATAACCAGAGTAACGACAGACAGTTTAAATTAATATATACTATCAAAGGAACTAAAAAAAAATAAACCGTCTTCAAAAACCTCAAAAACCCTGAAAAGAAGGAAATAATTTTAAATCAATATTTCTATATTTCTATTTTAATATTTTAACAATATTTACTCAAGTAGCACAAAATATTCTATAAATATTTTTATGAAATATAAATGTTCTAAATTCTAGAATATTTGAATCTGATATTCCATGAATATACATACAATATTTTAAACAGAGATTCATGTATTTATAATAAAAGAAATATTCTTAGAACAATGTAAAATATTAAATCAAGATGAGATTTTTTATTTTTGTCAATTTTTGTGAGACGAGACGGCATATCACTATCTTGACTAAAATCTTGATCAAAAATTAGAAATAGAGAGATACAAGATGTTCCTATACTTTATATGCTTTCTGTTTCATATAATAACAACGAATAAATATAGACTGCGAGAAAGAGGAAATGTGTGTAACGTGGCAGTAAACAATCTAACCAGCCTGTTTACTTAGCACTTCGATAAGAAAAATTTAAGATATTCAATAGCATTTAAAATATTAATCAAATAGAAAGTTGAACTCCGTATGAATAACAAAAAAAAAAATACTATTTCACAATAGAAAAATTATTTTATTTCTAATAAATAATAACTTAATATCGGTATGTGCAAAAACTTCTTATCGTATGAAAAATTTTTATTCTTAATAAAGTAAAACATCCAATTAATGGCATTACCTTAGTCATCGATACTCTAGCAAAAAACATGGTTTTTAATTACTAATATTGTTAATAAACTGATAATTAAATAATAATTCTAATCTAGGAAATTAGATCTGACGTTGACTCTCACTGGCTAGTAATTTATTATGTTAATTGGATGTCGCGTGGAGAAAATTTTATAGCAAAAATTATTGTAAAACTTTGTAGCCGAAAAATAGATCAACATTCTGCAGTAACTGACTATCCTGTCATTTTATATGGGCTATTTATATTTCGAGAACTGAGATGGGCTGTTTAAAAAGTCGCTACATTTCCAGCGAAATTTATTAGTTCCTTAACAAGATAGATCGGACTTAATAAACAGCAAAAGTAACGGATAAAATTATGAAATTCTCGGCACAAATAATATTTACTCGAACGTAGCATATAACTGTGTGCCGATTGGATCAGTCACAATTAGATGAAAAAGTCACCCTTACTCTTCGCGCGCGCATGTATTTTTCATCGCGCTCACCACGCGCGCTTTATCATACCTCTATTCATCGCCGGAATAGAAATCAAACGCTGAGTAACGTCGATTTATTCGAGTTGCATGTCTCTCTCGCACGCAACGACGACGACGACGACGATGACGACCCACAGTGCGGCCAAATGCGTTTTTTTTTGGACAAAAATAGAAATTCATATATAAATAGCAAAATAAGTATATTTTTAATAGAAAAAGAATACACATCAATCTTTGACATTATTAACAATAAGACTCTGTATCGTGCGAGGAGAATCGCTGCGTGCGAATTGTGTGTTGACAATCATCAATTCTCGTTTGCTCGCGTTTGCTAAACATAAATACAGTAAACATAAGCAAAAAAAAACTGTAAACATAATTCACACGCAGCAGTTTTCCGCGCACGACATGGGATCGACTACAAACGTCCGGACTCCAGAGACCACATTCTGAAAAAAATTCTTAGAAATTAGTGTAGTTTGTGTAGTAGTTAGTGTAGTAGTTTGTGTAGCAGGTAAACTGCTTGGACTCTAAAAATAGGATAAACAGAGAATCTGAAACAATCAAAAGTACAGGATATTTTGTGTCTAACCTAGTTAAAAGTTTAGTTACAATTGATGAAAGTAAATAACATTGCCAATGTTTCACTATCATTTTAAAAAATGAAATAAATACATGTATAAGTACATATTAATAAACCAATAAATTAAAATACAAAGTACATACTTTAATGAATATTCTACATAATAAATTTTGAAATTAATAATTTCGAATTTGTTTATATATTACATTTCATTTCAGTTATGAGTGATTACTAGATACTGTAAACAAGAATCAATTAGTATTCATCAAAATATGGATAATAGTCGTTAATTTAACATCATTAGTACAACCAATACCGACAATGATTTTTTCGAATTTTGTCCAGAGCGGCCGTACTGTGCGTGCGTGCGTTCGTCCATTCGTTAATGGCTTTCAACGGCTCTGTACCGATCTCCGGTAGCGGATCGCATACCTATCCTAGTTCTGGAAAAATCTAGTCCGCTGTAATTACGGGAAAAGCCAGTGACTTGGTTTCTCGCGTGAAACTTGTCGGCGTGACGTTATTTCTGTTTGTTCGACTTGTCGTCGTCGGGCGTTCAGTTGTTGCGTGTTTAGTGTCACGGACGACGACAACGACGACTACGATATGTACGTCGAAGTTCGACAGTCCGGAACGTCGTTCTCGCAGACTGCTGCCGCGCGCGACCACCGAACGATCCAATTATCGAGGTACCGAAACCGACCGAGACGATTGCTCGTATACCTAGCCCGCTGTCCGTGCTAAAAGAATTTCTTTCAGCAGCAATTGTTCCGCTCTTCTTCCCGTCGCGCCATTGAGGAAAGGATTTATCGTGGTGAGAATACGTCTTCTTAGTGGAATGCAGCCCGCATTTCCGGTTCATCAAACAATTACGAATTCTAATTGCGTGCGAACCACACTCGCGTTAATGTATAAGAAGATGTAACTGAGGAAGGTGAGAAAGAGAGAGAGAGAGAGAGAGAGAGAGAGAGAGAGAGAGAGAGAGAGAGAGAGATTATATAATGAAATATGTAATGGTAATATTATTACGTTAAGCCAGCGGCACACGGTGCTTGTTTTCGTGCTGGATTGCTTGCTGGATGGAAATACTCTATTTTGATTGGTGTATTTCCATCTATTTTCAGACATGCTCCAATCAGCAAGCAATCCAGCATGAAAACAAGCACCATGTGCTGCTAGCTTTAATGTTAAGTAAAATATTTACACTCTTATAATTGCACGCAAATTCAGTTTCTGTGGAATTTGTCTTTAAATTGCGCGCTGTGCTTCAAAGACTTTGTGAGACATAAATGCGCATTATTCAGTTTTGTTACTTGGAATTTCTGTTTATTAAGAATATATTACATGTTACAATTAAACATATACTTTGAAATTTACAGATATATGTCACTACCTGTCAACTCTATTTCCCGGTCGGGCGACATCTTCCCATACCCCGTCTCTGACCTCTACCACACATTCTCGAACGCACCTTTGTAATTTCTTCAGTCCTAACTTGTCCTTTAGGCGGTCCTCTTGATATTTTATACCGTCTGCTACCACGCCTCTGGCAAAGATCCTCTGCCACTAAACTGAGTATCAATATCACTAATAGAATATAGACGGAAAATTTCATCTTACAGCAATATAAAAGAGCAATATGAATTTTGTTTATAAATTCGATTGATCTTTGTGTTTCCAAAACTTCGTATCTCCTTTTCTAGATTTCTTTCTCTTAGTTAGCACTTCACGTATCGTTTATTTCACTTTGGCTCATTGTGTTCGTTATATTATCCACTACACCGAGTGTCTAGTCGCTGTTCTAACGCGTGTTTCTATTTTATAGCGTTGTTCCTCCTCTCTCTTTAATGACGCAATTTCTGTAGTGTATTTGTGAAGTAGGAAAAATTAACATATAATTTGCCATGACTGAAGATGGCACTTGCAAAAAATGAATATCAGTGATGTAAAAAGAACTTATACTCGGCATATCCATTGAAAACATAAAGAAACTATTTTCTCCTGCGATTTTTTATACAGATTGTCTAAAGGGATTGTCTAAAAGTACAAGTTTAGTAAAATAGAAAATTATAAATTATCTAGTTAATTAATTGGTATTATTTAGATTTTTATAGCAAAATTTGGACAATTTTGCAAAACTGCATACAATTTTATGTAATGGTAATTTTGCAAATTCCGTTATTTTCATTTACGCGCAGAACACTATTCTATTAAGTCACTTTCAGTTCACATCTCATGGTTCGATCTCATGGTTGAAAACGTGATAAAAATACTGAATAGAAGACCGAGCTCCTACGATCTTGGCCTATGTTATCAAGGATATGTCCTTAAGTAACATTTAAAAAGTTTTAAGCGTCGCTCATTATTTGTTAAAAAGTTATTAACAAAAGATATTTTATAAATGAAACAAAATTTTTGTATACAATATAAATTGAAAATTATTCAATATTGAAATTTATTTAATATTGTTTACTATATTTTTATGTATTTCTATGTATAATTGCCAGGGTTAGATCCATTTATAATATGTACACTTTCAAAACTTTAAACTCGAATATCTCAGAAACTACATGCGATCTCCATATAGTTATAGGAATAAGTTACTCAAAATACTATTCTATATATACCACTTTATATTCAGAATACTATTTTAAAACACTTCAAAAAGAAAAAATCGGTAAAGTATTACCTTTTATGCAGTTTTACCAAAATTTTTGTACTACAAAATTTTAATACTCGGCATAATGCTTTTTTTGCAAAAAAAAAATTGAAGTTATATATTTGGCGGTAAAGCGATAGAGCTGGGACTGTAATAATCCACTAGGGTTTTGGAAAGGCATATCTGTCCCAAACAATAGTAAGTAGAATGATAGCTGATGTATAATAATATTTTGTGTGTGTGTGTGTGTGTGAATGTTAAAAAGGCTGTTCCTTTAATTGAATACAGCTGTTATTACTGGTGAGGAAAATATATGTTCTGGGACATATAAATTTGGTAGCGATTGGTCCTCTGCTTGAACTACTGTGCATTAAAATTATTCTATCTCTTTTAAAATTGAATATATTTTTAAATTTAAATATATTCTTTTAATAAAATACTTACTTCTCTTTGCGTCAGCTACATGTTTTCCTACCAGGAAGCTAGCCAAAAGCACACAAGCTCTTTCTATGCATACTCACAATAAATTTTGTTCCAATGTTAATATCACATCTTCATAGTGGCTGTAATGTTAGAATAATGAAACATGATTCATTCCGTGCACGTCCTCGTCTAATGGCGTTTGTTTTTTGCCGCTGGATGGCCGCGCTTTTTAGCAGACACGCAGAGGAAATGCGCTGAAGCATTATTAAAAAATATAATTTTATTTATTTGTTTGAGGACTATACATATAACGTATAACATGGATTGATAGAAATATGTATGTAATAATTGCTGAATCTGTAATCTTTTCTTAATGAAAAGTGTCATTGAAAAGTCGAAGTATTTCTCTATTATATGGATATGTCAAAACTGAAATATGATTTATTGCATTTCTTATTATATTGTTATGATGTAATGTAATTTAAGATGTAATGTAATTAAAGTTAATAATGTAAGTTAAGATATAATGTAATTTAAATAAGCACGCATTTTATAGGCAGGACTAATAACGTGAATTTATTGAAGCTTCGTCAGTAGTACAGTAGTCAATCAGTACAGAATATTTTTGTCACGTGGTTGTGCTGCGCCGACGATATTTTAGAATTCTACCGTGCATCCGGTTTTCAACTGACAGGTAATGATATAACTATCTTTAATTGTCAAAGAATATGTTTAATTGTAACAGATAATATAACCTTAACCTTAACAAACAGAAGTTTCAAGCGACAAGATTGAGTAATGCGCGTTTGTATTTCACAAAGTTCTTGGAGCACAGTACGCAATTTAATGACAAGTTCCACAAGAACTTAGAGTTTATGTGTAATTATGAGTGTGTAAATATTTTACTTAATATTAACGTAATAATGTTACCATTATATATTTGATTACATAATTTTTCTCCCTCTCTCTTTTCCAGATACTTTAAGAAAATATGAATTAACTATGATTGTTAATGTTGTTCATATCGGCTTCACAACCTAATGTGTTACAAATTAAAGTGAACTGACAAATAATAATTATTAACATCAGTTTGTTATATTATAATATAATCACTAACATATATAGTACTATTAATATACATTATAATTATTATTATGTACTTTATTTTATTTATTCAAAATTATTATTATATAATAATAATTATATTATTATTATATAATCATTTGTCAGTTCACTTTAATTTGTAACATTTTAGGTTGTGAAGCCGATATGAACAACGTTAACAATCATAGTTCATTCATTATATTTTCTTAAAGTATCTGGAAAAGAGAGAAGGAGGAAAATTATATAATCAAATATATAATGGTAACATTATTACGTTAGTATTAAATAAAATATTTACACATTTATAATTACACACAAATTCAGTTTTTGTGAAATTTGTCATTAAATTGCGCTCCAAGGACTTTGTGAAATGCAAACGTGTATTATTCAATCTTGTCGCTTGGAACTTCTTTTTGGTAAGGTTATATTATTTGTTACAATTAAACATATATTCTGACAGTTAAAGATGTATATCACTACCTGTCAACTCTATTTCCCGCTTGTGCGACACCTTTCCTTAGCCAGCCTCAGATCTTTGGGATACATTTTCGAACGCATCCTTGTAATATGTTTTATTGATACTCTTGGTGATATTTTATTACAAGCCTCTGGCAAAGGCCCTTTGACACTAAACTGAGTATTATTATCACGAATAGAATATAGACGGAAAGTTTCTTTTCGCAGCAGTAAAAAAAAGCAACACGGATTTTGTTAATATTAACGTAATATTTATCAATTGAATTTGATCGATCTTTGTATTCCTTCGTTTCTCCTTTTCTGGATTTCTTCCTTTTAATTATCTCAAATTATCGCTATATTTGTGCACGTGTCGCTTACATACCACATCGTGCATTTAGCTGCTCATTTAACGCGTGTTTCCTATTTATAACATAGAAGTTGCTCCGTTTGACGCAATTTCTACATTATGGAGCAGGAAAGTATGTTATAGCATATTAGTATGTAAGCATATTAGTATGTCGCGTCACAGGTCGCGATTGAAAGTAATGAATATCAATTAAGTAGAATATCAATGAGATAGTATGTTCCCTAATACGCATGAGAAAGTCACGCACAAAAGTTCAACAGATGGTTATGGCTGGGTCGCTCGTGTATCGGGATGCTTGAAAAATCTTATTTTTACTTTTAGCTGCGCATAAAGATTCAGAAGATAATTATACACTTAACGTTGATAAATATTTCTAGAGACATTACAAACGAAAACAGAAAGTAAGATTACAAAACTATATAAATTTGGGCTGATCAGTTCAGTTAGAATAGTTAAAAATTGTTTCATTATTTTCATCGCATCTCTTAAGATGCTTATCGACGTTTATTGCGTATTTCTTCAACTAATTCTTCAATACGTAATTCGACTTCTACACGTTTTATACATCAAGATGCAATAAAATAAAAGTACTGATATGTTACTTTCACGTGGTGGCAGACGTAGGGAAATAATTTCGGCCGCAAATAAATTTGTTTAACAATAGGAAACAATGTTAGAAAAAGTATAGAGTAAAATTGAAAGCAAAGAGTTTGGAGGAAGAGATATCGCATAAACATTGGGAGAGAATAATAAAGCGTGATTCATCCTCTTCTATCGTATAACTGCGTTTGTTTTTTACCGCTGAACGGATGCGCCTTTTAGCAGACTCACAGAAGAAATGCGCTGACGCATTATTAAAAAATGTAATTTAATTTATTTGTTCAAAAACCATACATTTAATATATAGACTGAAATATGCTTCATTAATATGAAAATAACTTCTTTAACTAAGTGTTAAAGAAGGTGATATAAGCTCTTCTTGTTTAGTGTCTTCTGTCCCCGTCGCTAACGTATTATTAAAAAATATAATTTAATTTATTTGTTCGTAGACCATATATATAATGTATAGGATAAACTAAAATAAATATATATATATGTTAGAAATATATATATGGAAACTGTTGCTGCATCTCTAATCCTTTCTTAATGAAAAGTATCATTGGAAAGTCAGTATTTCTCTATCACATAAATATGTTTAAATTGAAATATGATTTATTGCATAGTTCTCTTTCTTTCTCTCATTACATTTTTATGTACAACATGTAACATAATTTAAATAAATACGCATTGTACGCAGGACTGAGATGAATTTATTGAAGATTGGTCAGTGCATAGATTATTTGTGTCATTATGATTGTGCTGCGGCGACGATAATTCTACTCTGCATCCGTTTTTTAGCTGATATTGCCGAAATACTGAATTTTTGGGCCTGTAAACAAACATAAAATACATATGTCGTATTTCCGAAAAAAATTAGTCGCAAATTAAAACGTAATTTTTCACAGAACTCAAAAGAAATTTTTAAGAATAATAAACCCTCTATAAAATAAGATTATTATCTAATTATAAATCTAACATGATTTAAGACAAATCTGCCCCAGTACCACTCGCTTTTTCGCACATAAAAGTAGCATAAATTCACTTTAAAAAAAATGCGCATTTTACCAATTATTATTTATATAATAATATTAATATAATAATATTATATACAAATGTTCAATTTGTTAATAATTATATTAATAATTTTAATATGTATATTAATAATACTATATATGTTAATGGCTATATTATAACAGAACAAAGTAATGTTAATAATTATTATTTGTCGGTTTGATTTGTAACATTTTAGGTTGTGAAGCAAATATAAACTACATTAACAAACATAGTTAATTCATTATATTTTCTTAAAATATTAAAAAAAGAAACAAAGAGAGAGAGAGAGAGAGAGAGAGACAAATTATGTAATTAAATATATGATGGTAATTATATTATAATTTTATAATATATTATTATAATATTATAATTTTATATATTATTATATTATTATAATTTTATAATATATTATTATAATATTATTATATTATTAAGTAAAATAATCACACTCTTACAATTACACGCAAACTCAGTTTCAGTGGAATTTGTTTATAAATTGCGTGCTGTGTTTCAAAGACTTTGTGAAACGCAAACGCGCA